AATTCGCTCGCGGGGCTGGCTGACCGCGCTCGTAATTTAGCTGAAGCAACGAGAGGAGCCAGGTGCTCGCATTCCCAGAGAGAGAGAGAGAGAGAGAGAGAGATAGCGCAGAATCGGCCATTGATAAGGCAATCAGAAGTCGGCCGAGGGAAACGTGGAGTGGCGTCGTCGTCGCTGGGACAGCGCCCGTCGATCCAGGGGAGAGCACGGGCCGAGCGCGCGGACGAACCAATGGCTTGTAACTCACGCGATTAGCCAAAAGCTCGAGAGCGCTAAATTACGTTATTATCTCCGGACCAAGCCTAATTCCTCGTGGTCCGGCTCAATTCGCCGAGCCGCAGACAGAATGCGGCGCCGCTACTTGGCTTTGTTAATACGCGCCTGCCCAGGGGATGCTGCGCACCCGGCCGCGTCGCTTTCGATCGGCCGTCGAGCGCGCAGTTATCCGCCTGCACCACGCCGGACGAGCCTTTTGATCAGTTATTATGGCGCTTGCCACCATTTCCAAATGTTTATCCGCTATACGCGATTATTTTTCAAGCGGAATATCGGTTATCAAGTACGTACGAGTGAAATTAATTGGATTCGCGCGCAACGGTATATACATGCATACGTCAGGAAGCAGCTTGCCCGTACTATATTTAAATAAACCGTAATTGTATTTATGTATACTGAACAATTATTTTAAAATTCATCGCGCGGCTTTCAAACACACACACGCACACATATGGGTTGCTACATAATATACCGTACGCCAGCTGATAAAACGGCAAAAACCACTTGGCGCTCCCGTTTGGATTTCATTTATTCTCGTATCAAACTTTTAATATGCGGCCACGAGCTGATCCCTTTCCATCGACTTTGTCTGTGTTTACACTTTTGAAATCGCGCCTCCTGAAACTCGTGTGTATCGCTTGGATTTCGCAACGTTTTTCGCCGAAAATGTTTCTCGCATTCTCCGCTGCCAATCCAACGATCGCGTTGTATTCAAAGTCCCAACAATTACCGACTGAACATTAATTGTTAATTCGGCTGTAAAGCTATTAGTATTGTTGTAAATGCAAAGTCATACATTTATGTAGTCATTGTCTGCACGTATACAATAACAATACATTGGAAATGCAGCACCAAACAAACGTCTATTGTACGCTCGCGCTTGGCTTTAGAACAACGAGAAACAGCGCGAAATATAAAGGCATGAGCTCCGCGACGCCGTTCGTTCTTTTCTTCCATTCCACGCAATTCGCTCTTGCGATTAGCCAATTTGTCCTCGAGCTCGGTGTGGCCGGCGATTCGAAAAAGCGACGCGGTGCTTTATTTCCTCCGAAGGGGGGGATGCGCGCAACGACGAGCCGAGACAGGCGATCGAATGTAATGGAAAAGCCAAGCGACGTCGACACGCGACAATTAGAGTTGCAGTCCCCAAAGGGCGTTAATGCACGGCTCGCGTTTTACATCGACCAGCGAGTCGCGCGCGCGGTCGTGGTCACATTTTGGCGCCGCTCCCCCGGGCTCCACTCGGCTAATTAGCGTGCGCGACTGCGAGCCTCCGGGGATCCTCCGAGGAGCGAAGGACGCGCGCCTCCTCGCAGGAGCGCGCACCGGCCGCAGTAGTCGGAGTAGAGTTCGGTCGGGCAACAGAGCCGTCTCGCGGCAGATGAGCCGGAGCCCCGCCGCACGTCGATGACTCGGCGCTGGCCGAGCCAACTATCCGGGCCCGGCTTTCCAGCGCGCAAAGTCTGCAGCGCCGGCGAGGGAGAGATTCACCCTCGAGATTCCTTTCCGGGTAGAGAGCGTTCTTGATGCTGGCATTCTTTGCTCGAGCAGTGCGGAAGCACGCTTGAGATTTTTCCGCGAGCGAAAAAACAACAACGAGGCATGATGAAGAACGAGCTGCTGCAGCTGGCTTTTTGTCTCGGCCCGTCTCTTCCTCGTCTTTTTCCTGCCCCCCCGCCCGAGCGACGCGCTGGCACGTAGGCGCGCGCGGCACACGCGCGCTGCGCGGCCTTTGCCGGCAGCGAGCGTATGCGCGGAGGCCGCGGAAAGCGAAACGAAGCAGCGGAAATGCCTCGAGGTCGCGCGCTCGCTCGCTCGCTCGCTCGAGCAGCCTCAAAGTCAACTTTATACCGGCTCCGTGCCTCGCGGCGAGGATGCGCTCTGCCGTCTGGCCTCGTCGTGGTTCGCTGCTGCCGAGATTTTTCGTCTCCGCGACCGCTGCGGGAGGCGACGCTCGGCCGACGTGACGCGCGCCAAAGGGGAAATCGGACGGCCGAGCCGGCGCTGCGAAATCGGCTCGCGCGCGTTGGCCAAGAGCGCGGCGGCCAGTTGCGCAACCGGCGCGCCAAGTGCCGGCCGGAACGGGGCGCCGCTCGCGCGAGTGCGCGGTTGCGCTCGCCTCCGCTCGTTCACGCTTTCCGAAGATGCGCGCAGCGCAAGCGTGACGCCTCGCGCGCCCGCCCGAGAGTGCAGGTGCGCGCGGATTCATGCCGGCTTTCCGCGATTACGCCTAGTCATACGCTCGGCTATTATATGAGTTCGCTGCACCTCCGACCAGCCGCGCTTTCTCCTTGTGCCTCTCCGCTCGTTTTTTTGCCCGAGATTGACGTGCACTTTTGTTCGCTTCCGAGGCCGCTGCTCGTCGAGCTACTCGCGCCTCGACCGATGCGCTCATCGAGCATCGCGTTTTCGATAAGTCGCGCGAAGAGGAATGCTGCTCATGAGTTCTCGTTGTATTACTTCCTGCGGGGCATGCGAGCTCGATACATTTTTTTCCTCGTCCTTTTCACATTTGGAAATCGAGGCGATGTTATCGTGCGCCGCGAAACAAGATACGCGCGCGCGAGCGTTTCAACAGCGGAAATGTCCGTCAATCAATCCGCGAAAAATCGGGGAAACTAGACTCCACGCTCGGTGCGGATTTTCCGAGCTGCGCGAATTTATTGCGAGCATGCGCGCGCGGGCCAACCGTAATACACATATCGGGACGCACGCGTGCGTGGCACCGACCGCCACCGCGCTCACGATATATACCTTACTTGCGGCCTCGCTCTCGCCGCCGCCGCCGCCGCCGCCGCCGCCGCCGCCGCTGCCTCGTTGTGTTGTACTTTATTAGTAGCCATGCGATTTCACTTTGCGTGAAAGCTATACAACACGAGCACCAGCCCTTATCACGCCAGCAATTCGCTGATTGACCGAAAATTCTGGAATTTCATGTTGTCCGAGTGAAATCGTAAAAATGGCACGCTTGTTTGTTTTTACTCGACATTGATTATGTTATCCATTAAGTAACGTGGAATTTATGGAGTTCCACGCCAGTTGTTATATCCTTATGCCCCCCGAACATGAGAGTTAAGCACGAATGTACACTCAACTGGACTGCATTGGCCACGATAAGAGAAACATGTAGATAACATCCTACTCGAATTGTAATTTTGACGAGGGAGAACGAATGTAAGTATCAGAGCAATAGAATGTAGGATCGATGACGTATGGGGATAGGAGAACCCGAGTGCATAGGTTTTTCTTTCTGGTCCGTGGGTGGTGTTGTTCTGCGCGTTGAGATCAATTGAACTCTCTCTCTCTCTCTCTCTCTCTCTCTCTCTCTCTCTCTCTCTCTCTCTCTCTCGACCCGTGTAGGCTTTTACGATACGTAAATCAATGCTATAACTCGTAACTGTACAATCGCTCTCTATGCATTATAGGTGCACCCACGTCGACGTCATCCTGACCTGCCAGAGAAATCCTCATGAAAGACTGGGAACTCAGTACTCAGAATAGCATCGGTATCGTAGACATTTCTTTTTTGTTGTTTCTTCCAACTGTTCCTTTACATTTTCTACTTCAACTTTCCTCTACACGCAGTACATTGTGTTAGCATCAGCCTGTCTATAGTTTGTCTGCACTTTCGGGTTAGATGGCTTTTATTTCAACACTTTATTTAACAGTTAATCAATTAAACCGAAAACAGATTCAGCCCGTGTTCAACAATTTGCTTTAAACATCTTTTCAGCAGGTTTTGTTAAATCGTAATGTGCAAATTACGCTCAAAGAGATGATTTGAGAAGATTTTTATTCTTTTTGTATTGAAAGGTGGCGGTAACATTCTATTCTTTTATGTACCATGAAATAGATGTTTTTTTTTCAACAAAGCATGCTCATAGCCTGAAAGAGTGCAAGCATCGAGTTGTCAAAAAAAAAGTTGACTTCAAATGAAGCTAGCAAGAAAAAAGAAAGACACGTGTGCATTGTCGACAAAAATGCACGCAAGAAACTAGTATATGCAAAGGTAGTCGTCATGAGAGATAAAAACACGAGGATAGTTGACGTAACAGCTCGGTTTACTGCCTTGTTGACTCTTTTGCCGCGGTCAAATTGCGTCGCCGAAACGTCACTTTATCCATCGCCATCCAACAATATAGAGTCGTGTTGGCTTGATCGATTGAATTTCGAGCCCGACGAAAAGTGTTGATCGATCGTTAATCGCAGCGACGGCACTCGCTTGGAAAATCATGGAACCGCGCGGTCGATTCGGCGCTCAAAGGGTAAAGACGGTCGCGCGTCCTCTTCTCCAAAAGCCCGCGGCTCGACGAGTAGACGACCAGCGAAAGCTCCATAAAGCAGGAGGGATCGCATGCGGTGCGCTGCTAAAAGGCGAGGTGCACGAGCGAGTGTAACGGGGCCGATTACAGCGTTACACGGGCTCTCGCGCGCGTACACGGAGCGCAGCTCGTCTGTCGCAATATCCCTTTTAACGATCGCGATCGCAGGCCGGAGAAAGAGAACCGGTCGGCCTCGCACGACTGCGACTCTCTTTCAAACTGCTCACTCTCTGGACGCGTGTCTCCGTAATAATTTCTCTCTCCCTCGTGAGCCTCGCGTCCTTTTTTTCTTCACCAAGCCTCTTAATGACAGTTTTTGTCAGCAGCATTTTAATTGTCGTAGAAAAATTCCTTTTTATTTTGCCATCCCTCTCCAGCGAAAAACTGTGTGGACACTCACTCCCTGTCTGAGAAACATTCTTTTAATTTTACCGCTCCCGCGAAACTTTGTCGTTTATTTTTTTTTATTCTGTTTCACGGCGCTTTTATCGCGGTACTTCGGAGGGTAAAGTTCAGATTCGACCGCAGAAAGAAATTTACATTCATAACTCTCCGCGTGCCCGCGCTCTCAAACTTAGTCTTTTATCCGCTCTGTGTGACGCGAAGTCACCGAAATAAAACAATTATACATGCTCGAACGCGGAAAAGGGGGCTGTCATTAAATTCGCGACAACTTTCCGGGGCTTCAATCCGCCATGGCTTCAAAAAGCATTCTATCGACGTCGCGATTTTACTTGCAAACGCAAGGTGTCCTTTGTGCGCGCGCGAGTTTTCTGCGTGGCACACGACTACGCGCGAAGTAACTTTCCAGCGGGTTTATCGACTTTCCATTTGTCTCTCGGCATTATTTTTGCAACAAAAAAAAATAATAATTAATCTGATTTGCAAAGCGACGAACGGTTGGAAAAAAAAGAAAAGATGAAAATCCTTTGGCGTCGCAACGATCAATTGGGTTTTGCAAACAAACAACCACGGAAGCAGCGGTGTATCTGTGTACAACGCGAGAGAGGATTTTTCCGCTCCGACGGTCGCGAGAGAGAGAGAGAAAAAAAACCCAAGCGAGCGAGGCTCCCATTCACATCGAGTTCACGGGCTCTTGAGCATCGTTGTCGTGGTATACAGCGAACGACGATTTACTCTCTCTCTCTCTCTCTCTCTCTCTCTCTCTCTCTCTCTCTCTCTCTCTCTCTCTCTCTCTCCCTCTCTCTATGTTCAGCGTATCTCTCTACTCGTTTTACTGCCCCACGCCGATTAGGAAGCTTTCTTTTTTTTCCTGACTCTCTCGTTCGACCCATTCAGATTTGCTTATTAAGTTTACGCGAGGTGGATTTACGTAATACCCCGTCGTCGTCCCCCTTAATGGAGTTGCCGCGTGTACTCGCGCTGCAGCTTTCTTTCGTTCGCCGCGCGCGCGTTTTCATTCAGTTGCCTTTTAATGAGCGCTTTTAACTTTGCTACTGATTTTTTTCATGCCTAATTGGGAGATGTACACCGAACAATGTTGCTTCTTCTTTTATTTTAGTCCTTTTATTCTCGAATTAATGCGCGTTAGCTTAAACGTCCCGCCATTCAGCGAGTTAATCAGCGGCTTCAATTGAATAGCATTGAATTTCGTATTGCTCTCTAAATAAACTCGCGAAAATGCGAACGAAGACACACGCTAAGCGCAGCGGCCTTAATCGTGAGCAATCTTCGAGAATCGAGTAGCGCCGCACGCGTTCATTGAACAAAACAAGCTAGCGATCCGCTTAAATAGGTGTTTTTCGCGAGTTTACGGAGAAAGTCTAAATCTAGGTAATCGTGTCACCACAGCAAGCGGCAGTCTTCCTCGATTGAAGATGACCCTAATGAATCGGCGAAAAGACATGCAGCGCGAGAAAGTTCAAAGCCCCCCCCTCGCCCCGCCGTTGCCTTGTTAATTTTTGTTAATTAACATTGCGCGCGTGCTTCGCCAACTTGCGTCGCGATTTATATCCTTTCCAACGACATCCTCGTTCGTACTTTTACCTGTTTTGCCAAGAGAGTTTTCTTTTGTGCGCCTTTTCTCGGCGCGAGTAGATTGTTCATGAATTAGCAGGCTTCACATAACCATCGGCAGAGCGATCAGAAAATAGTTCAGTTTTACCGTGAAAAAGCCTATGCTAGATAATACATCTCGATCATGTTAGCGCATTCTGAAAGTTAAAAAAAGACAAAGAAAAGGCTTGTGCGTTTTTTCGAGGCGTGCTCGATTTGAAGAGCACGTGTTCCCGAAATCCTAATTTTTATTGTGGACTCGCAATCCCATTATGGCAACGCTATCGTCAATGAAAAATTCATTGCAAAGCAAATAACAAAAAGAGCCTCATAGACATTTGCCAAGCGAAGGAAACAAGCGAATCGTATCAATTTCATACACGGAGTAACGGCGACGAAACATAATCCGATCAGAGCAGAGCTCGGAGCAGAAATCAGACAATTCAATGGCAAATATCCGTCCGAAATTCTGGGAAGTATCGAGAGAGAGAGAGAGAGAGAGAGAGAAGAAAACAAGCCGAACGTTCCCACGGTCGATCCGCAGCCGAGCGAGTAATGATTTCGCAAACCTCTTTCTCTCTCACTCTACGCTCGGACGCCCTAAGGGCCGCGGTGTCTGTTTCTCTCTCTCTCTCTCTCTCTCTCTCTCTCATGGCCGCTCGCGCGTTCATTGTCACCCACACATCATCGACGCTTTCGCCTTCGATCGATCCTTCGTGACTAAGCGCTCGGGGAATGCGCGACGCTGATTCGAAGCGCGAGTACGAGCCGAGACATTCGGTTCGCGGCAGATTTCTTTGCGCTTGCATTTTCATCGTGGACGTCGTTCGCGCGGCCGATTTGGGTTGTTCGGATGGCGATTACGTAAGAGAAGGCGGCGACGATCCGCGGCGCCAAGCCTCGTACTTTCGTTTTCCGCTTAGAGCGCGTCGGCGAGCCATTAAAATAATAAGCCCTCTGCGATTGTGCCGGCGAGAGGCATCGCGCTCGCGCGCGCTGGTGCCGTACATCCTCGCGCCTACAGTTTCGCAGCCTCGGGCATAAAAGCGTTTTACGAGCCGCGGTAGCTGGCCGACGCGGCCTGCTCTCCTCGAGGATGCGATTCGCTGCGCGTCGATCCAAGAGGGAGGATTCAGCGAGGAGGAGCGCTCTCGACGGTCATCGCCACGGTTATGGCCTCGCGCGAGCGGAGGCGCGAACGAAGGCAAACCGATGCGCGCGGCGTTGATATCTAGGCGCGGAGACAAAGAGCGAGAGAGAAAGAGAGAGAGAGAGAGAGAGAGAGGAGCGAGCATAACGGGAGGAGAGGCCACGTGGGAATCCGCGCCTGCACCTGGCTCGCCGGAGCGCGCGAGGCTTTAATGAAGCGTGCGCGCTCTCGGATTACCATAATGCTTTTAAATCTGCCCCGCCGGCCGTAACTACCGACCGCTATGCGCCATGCCAAAGCGCATCCTGCCGTCCGGCTTCTGTAAATATGATTGCCTCCATTACTATACCTTGCCCGAGTCGGCGCGGTTTAACGCTGCCTGCTCTGCGCTGCCGCCAATTACGGATCGATTTTTCCAATTTCCGAAATTTCCCGATTTCGACTTCCGCTATTTAATGCTCTAGCGCCCGAAATAGAGATAAATCTTGTGTGCTCGCCTTACGACGTCCGAGCGTTTGTCGACATTGCAGTAAATATTGCAAAAATATCGAGGTATCTTTTGAAATTACGCGAAAATAGAACAGCTTCGTTAATTAACGAGAATAGTGCATCGCATAATTTCGTAACCAAGCAGACACCATACTTTAAAAGAGAGAGAGAGAGAGAGAGAGAGAGAGAGAGAGAGAGAGAGCGAGCGAGAGAGAGAGAGAGAGAGAGAGAGAGAGAGAGAGAGAGAGAGAGAGAGAGAGAGAGAGGAGGTTCCCTGCAGTGCAAACGCGAAATACGCTCGGCAAAGCGTAATAAACAAAATGATGCTCGCGTGGTGGTCAGCGAAGCGCGCACGACGGAGCAAGCACTAACGAGTAAAAAAAAAGGAAAAAAAAAAGAATGGACTGTGCGATGCATTACTACACATTTCGGCTTTTGAACGAAAACACATCAAGTCGTAATCGAGCGAGTGACGCTGCGCGTGCACGCGCGCAACCCGACGTCCAATTGGCCGTGAGGGATAAAGACT